GTTTCCACATCTTCCAGAGTTTCGCCATCAATTGTCATTAAGTTGGCGTTCTCTGTAGTATATTTGAGGATCTTGCTTTTTCCTTTGTCTATGTTGAGGCCTATTGATACAGAGGTCACTGCTATATTAGTCGTCTTCGTCTGTATTTGTTCGTGTGTATGAGATAGGAGGGCTAGGTCATCTGCAAATTCCAAATAGTCTAATTGATTCTGAGATATCCATTGTATTCCGTGCTTCCTGTCAGATGTCGAAGTCTTCATGTTACTTGCTTGTTTGCTTCTGCGTAATCTGCTTGTGCTTTGAGTTTCTCTGCTCGTATTCGACTGTTGTTAATTGCTATTTTATTGTTCTATCTTCCTTCAATCTTGTCTAGGGTACATTCCTTATGATGATGCTTCTTGCGACCCAGAACCTCCTGACACGTCGAAGTTAATGCTTCTTTCATCCCTTTCCAGTTGTCCCCAATCGTAATTTATTCTTCTTTCAGCACATCTTATAAAGCTTGGAACCTGTTGTTGAGAGTTATCTTGAATTCGTTGAGCTTGTCAGTATCTCGAAGGAAGGCTGTATTGAACCTTTGTAACGCTGTTCTCCTAAATTTTCAGTGTTTCTTCAGCTTCAGTCTCATCTTGGCTACAACTACTTGGTGGTGATCTGAAGCTATATCAGCTCCTCTCCTGGTTCTCACATCTTCCATTATCCTTCGGAATTTTTCGTTGATACAAACATGATCTATCTGGTTCTCTGTGGTGTGGTCCGGTGAGATCCATGTAGCTTTGTGTATGTGTTTGCATGGAAATATTGTGCCGCCTATAACCAATTTGTTGAATGCACATGTATTTGCAAATCTCTCCTCATTTTCATTTCTCTCTCCCAGTCAATGTCACCCAATTATATCTTCATATCCTGTGTTTTCCACTCTGACTTTGGCGTTTAGATCTCCCACCAGGATGGTGAGGTGCTTTCTCGGGCAATTTGCTATGATTGATTTCAGCCTCGAGTAGAACTGATTTTTATCGTCGTCGTTGCTATCATTGGTGGGTGTATAACATTTGATAACATTCATTGTGATTCCCTCCTTCTTCGTTTTGAACGATGCTTTGATAATTCTGGATTCGTGAGATTTCCATCCTACAAGTGCATTACTTACTTGTTTGAACAGCATCAGAGCAACTGTCTGACTGTGTGGAGCATTTTCCTCTTAGTGACCAGAGTATAACAGCATCTCTCCCGTACCTAACCTTTGCTGTCCATCTTCTATCCAATGGGTTTCGCTGATTTGGAGTACTGCCAATTTGTATCTCCTCATTTCCATTGCTATCTCACATTGTCCGGACGTTCCATGTGTCTATAAAAATTGTTGCTCTTGTTGTTAGAAGAAGCATCGGCCTCGTGACTTCCGAAAAATTTTGGCTTTCATCCTGAAGCGTCATAATTCTTCCTTGAACTCGGAGGGCAGAGTTCAAATGGTTTGAATTATTTCTTCCGGATAGCGTTTTTTTAGAGAGTTGGTTTTCTACGGGATGGGGTGGCTAACCCCATGCCCAACCCTCCTCCTTTACCCGGGCTGGGAACCGGCAGTAATTCTAGAAGAGCTACAGGCGAAGTTGAAACGTGTTTCTGACTGCGTGAATAATGAGCAAATTGTAGTGAAATAACATAATCACTTAGTGTACAGTTGTTTACTCTGTTACTGAACTATCGGTTAGTAAAACTACGCGTTAGAGGTCGTGTATCATTTGTTGAAATATATGTTTACAATACACTTACCCATTTTTAATGCTACTAAGATTCGGAAAATTAATCTACACTTTGTTATCTTTAATACACCAAAAGTATGTATTAAAATACAAAAGCAGTATCGAACCAGAACAAAATATATGATATAGTTTTTATTTAAATGAATCTGTGAATTTTCATAATTTATACCTCCAGTGAATTATTGACATAGACATAAATACTGTCTGCCTAAATATAAAAGAATAAAAGTGATTAATATTGCTCGAAGTTTTGTTTCGTGTATTTGGAGTGACATCATTTGATTGTACCATAAAATATGATATTATAGACTGAAATATGTTGCTAGACTCCATAATAAATTGAATACATGTATATGAGTGAAACTAACTGAATCGTTATAAATCATAAATTCTTAAAGTCATACTGAGTTATGGAGTTCAGACAGGTAAAGAGTGAAATAGTCTTCATTGTTTTTACTGGATGATCGTTGCGCTTTATTATCACTTGATTCAAGTGCTACTCACTCCTTTGATGTCTCCCGCCGATTAGCGATAACATTTGTTCATTGATTAAACAATTTTCCTTTAGCCTTGATGATTCAAAGTTATGGCTTACTTCCTTATACAGTTTGATGATTTCTGTCAGTGTAGTCAATTCACCTCTAGTATCTTTCTCTGATTCCACCTTCACATGGAAGCTAATTTGTTCTCTGTCACAGTAGTTAGTAATAGTGTTATGGCTGATGTTATCCAATCAGTGGATATTGATCATCTGACCTAGATAACTGTTTGTAAATACCTGTATGTTTTTGATCATGGTTATGGTAGTTGTCCAAGTGTCAGTTCCGTATAGTAGAACTGTCTTCACATTTGTATTGAATATCCTGACTTTTGTGTTGTCTGAATGTTGTTATTAGTTCGAGATATTCTTCCATTGTAGGACTACCGATCTTGATTTGTCAATCCATGCCTTCACATCCGCATCAGATCTCCCTTGTTTATGAATGATTGTGGGGAGGTGCTTAAAAGTTTCAATCTCTTCCAGAACTTCTCAGTCAGATGTGATATAATTGTGCTCACTGTGTTGTATTTCAGGATCTTCGGTTGGTATTGTGCCTACTGAGGTGAATTTCTTCATAAGCTGGTGCTACAATGTCTGTTTTCACCCCCATTTGTTGCTGTGTAAGGTGTGGAATGATTAGGTTATTTACTCTTTGGTAACAATGCTACAGTATTTGCAACACAGAAGAAGTCATTTAATGCACTATATAAGTAATACTTCCACATCGAAATCTTTCTGCATTCAGATCCCAGAGTAATCTAGCGACATTACTCGTTTCCGACCTTGCACCAGATGTTTTAAGTAATCACCATATATTTGGAACACACGTACAACTGCAACCCATCTGTTAGCTATTTCTGTAAAATCAGTACTATCCTCCTTATCAAATGTATACAAAGTACTGAGAAATAATATCGAGCAGAAATCCATTGATCGAGCTTGACTCTAGATGAGCAACAAATTAGAAATTTACAACAACCTACATTAAATAACAGAAAAGTGTAATACCTGAAATACTCCCAACTTAACGTGGTTTATAACAGTAAGGAAACATATCAGAGGAGTATGGACTTAATACTTTTAGTAAAAGTAACTATAGATAAGAATAACGTATGTGCTCCAATCAAATTAATGGATATTCAGTAGAATGCATCAATGTGATCTGTATAAACTGCTCCAGGTAATAATATTATGTAGGATTAATATTACCATACTTTTTGAGATACTTAAGTGTCTATATTTAGATTTAGTGTAGTTTGTTAATGTAAACTCTTGAGAAGTCGCGAACCTATGATGAAACAGCGTTACTGTGCTTCTTGACCTTCAGTTTCCGTCTTGACAAGTCCATGGATGTTATGACTCTTACCATGCCTTCTTGTTCATTTATTATATATTTAATATGATACACATAAGTCATTAGTGGGATAGGATACATGTCCACGAATTTTTAACTTATTTTCCATGTCCAGTGTGTTATTCATTATATCAAATCGGTCCTCAGAATTTATATATTAATGAAATGTTAAAAAACGTCATCAAAAAATGCTGTCGAAGAGCTTTCTAATTACTTAGAAGAACAATTTAGGATTTTTATGCTCGTTTAGTGAATTAACGTTGGATATAAGGGCATAATTTTGAGTGAAAATTTCATTTCAAGCTCTAACTTTCGTAATATTTATTTTTTCTACCCACACCTTGAGATGAGCTACATTGTCATGTTCATGGAAGAAATATACGGAAGATTGGTTTTAGACGAATGAAATAAAATCCTCAGTGAAAATTACACTCTGTTATTCAGCACTAATCCACTGAATGAAAGTAAAAATGTTGAAAAACGATAGATAACACCTTTTTATTGAAGAGTGGAAAAAATATGGTAATCCTTACAGATGATTCATCCATTTAGTTACTTATATCACAAGATTTTTCTTTATCTTATAACGCATACGTGCATTTACTTCTAGTGAAATAAAAGTAATTATGTAATCATTTATATGATTTTTAGTTACCCCTAACGTAACGTGTGCTACGGATGTCGATAGATATAAGTAGTATGTATCATCAATCGAAAGTTGAATGCCTGGAGTTAAAAGGTTAAGAAGATCAAAGAAAAGAGAACAAGAACAAAGAATAATTAGTATGGAAACGTAAGTACAATGAAATCTGAGACTATTGATTGACATTTTGCAAATAAATTATATACTCTATAGTTCTCAGATTTTACTAAGAGATTCTATAATTTTATGTTTGAGTACATTAGGTTATATTCAATTGTATTCTCGTTCACTATACTACTACATTCAACATCTTAAAATTTATTTACCTTTAATTATATTTAATTTTTCAAAGTTGAAATCATGAATCAATTGAAGCTAGACCACCATCGAAAACCTGGAAGCACTGGACGGCCGTTTCGTCCTATTATGGGACTCTTCAGCAGTGCGCATCCACGAACCCGCTCTCGCGAGCGAGACTCGAACCCAGGACCTACCAGTTTCGAGCCGAAGCCCTTAACCGATAGACCACTGAGCTGGCATCCAACGGTGTTATTGTCTAACTTCAACTGATCCACGAATATATTTAATTATCAATAATTATTTGATATTCCTAATTGAACACTTTTAATATTATAGTTATAAAATCTAATTTGAATTTGTAGGGGTTATGTATTTTATTAGATTATAATTTAAGATCAACAAAAATGATTAGCCATCTACAAATTACATACTAACAAAACGAACTAGTAAGCTCATCAGTGATCAAATACTACTATTTAATTAACCAATCAAAAACTTCGATCCATGTATTCTTTATATATATACATATAACTTAAGATGAATAGATTGAATTATTTATCAATCTACCAAATCAAATTATCTTACAATCAGTCATTATTATACTTTATAGAGTATTGAAATACCTCATTTTATATGCTATTACTATTTATTTGTTATAAGATAGATTTTCTCAATTACCAAATGTCAATCATCTTACAATGAGAATGTTTCTTTTAGTAACAACTTACAAGGCATCCTTATATAAATGATCATAATGAATATAATTTCCCGGAGATTATTTATTAAAAAATTACATTATATTTGTTTATTTATTTTATTTGTAATTATTATATTTAATAAAACTATTAATAATAAGATAGATAATTTGTCAACATTACATAATAGATCATTGACATATCAGAACATAGATTTGGAACTTATCAAAATTTGTGAAACATTTTTAAATAAAGAACCAAATCAAACATTAGCTAAACAATATCAATATTATTCAACAAAACAACATTTATTATATCAATGGAAATCAATAAATGATTGTAATATTTTTCGTGAACCCCTTAATTATTTATTATGGATGAATAAAGAAGAATTAAATTATCCATTAGGATTTGTATTTACAGTTTATGAAAATATTGAACGTATAGCACGTTTATTACGTCTTTTATATAGACCATATAATTTATATTGTATACATGTAGATCGTAATACATCAAATGAATTTTATCAATCTATAATTGATTTAGCTAAATGTTTTGGTAATAATATTGAAATTATTCAACGTTCACAAAGTGTATCAGTAAAATGGGGATATTTTTCTGTGCTAGATTCATTTCTTAAATGTACTCAAATTATGTTGAATAATACAAAAATTCAATGGAAATATGTTATGAATATTAATGGTAAAGAATTACCATTACGTAGTAATTGGGAATTGATTAAAGCATTGAAAGCTTTAAATGGAGCTAATATCATTGGATGTACAATAAAAAATGGACCAAAGAAAAGAATTCCTAGAAGAAAACCATCATTCAATGTGAGTTAATTTTAAGTTGAAAACAAATTAATGAAATTTTAATATTACTTGACCAATAGTTTATACCAGTGAAAGTTAATGATTACACAAAGTTTTAGAAATTAAAGAAAAAAAATACAGATGACTCCAAACATTAAATGTCAAAGAATAGTCGAAGAACTCAAAAAATTTCATAGTACTTATAACAAAGAAATGACATCGTTCCATAAACTTAGTAGACTTACTTTTAATGAGGGCGGTATATGCTTAAACCAAATAACTTTAATGACAGACTAAGTTCTAGCTTAGTTATTGAAATTAATGCTGGTCAAAACTGACTAGTTGTTTCACAACTTTTATTTGGTATTTTCTATTAGTTTTCTTCAGTTATCTCATGAAAAAATGATACCTTTATAAGAGACCTATGGTAACATATCCCAGAACATACCAGACACTCAGGAGTCGATAATTTATAATTATTTAGTTCTCATTATTATTATATGAAAGCCATACCGTTTAAATGTACAAGCTAGTTTGAATATAGTAATTTCAGTGAAAATGAGTTATAATTAAGATTTAAATCTATATCGACAGTGTATGAGTGTACTTTTATTCAGTAAGATTTTCCTTTGGGCACACTAAAGAGGTGGAATATTTACCCAAAGAGCTATAAAGTATTTGAACTAATAAATGATTATATGCTTTAAAGTTGTTGAATAATTAACGTATCTATACATATATGTATATAAAGAAATACCATTTTCATCCATTGAATTATTCGAGGCAGTGTAATATGAATTTTGTGACTGAAAATCTTTAATTTGCCATGGCAGTGAAATGAATTATTATTTCAGGAGCACGTATATTTACCGAGTTTTCAAATAAAATAAGGAAGTAAGATGTTATTGTTTCATTCTAGAAATTATTTTGAATAATTGATCAATCATAATCTTGAAGAAAAATACAGCATTGAAACACTAACGATCTAAACTCACTATCTGTTTGATCTCACCGATCCTCAAGTGAATATAACTGATACTCGTTAAATTTAGTTTATCTTCTCAAGAGTTCGAACCCAAACTTATATTTTCATCCATATCATAATTTACTGACAGATTTAACACCTTAGCGTACCCAAATCACATGTGTAGGCATTTGAAGAAATATATGACATTTTAATATCTTCCACTAAATCTATTAATTGTTAAACAATTATTCGATTTGAAGCAGTCCAGTGCTTCCAGGTTTTCTAGGGTGGCCTAGCTTTAATTGACTGATGAATTGAACTGTTAGTTATTTATACCACAGTTAACAAAGCTATACAAGGTGAGTATTTTACGACTCAAATTTTTCCTATAACATCATAAAGTAGACAATCCTGTTTTCGTTCACCACTTTCATCTCATTCAACTTACAGTTTATCTGCACCTTTTTTTCATAATTATGATTTAATTTTAATTCATCTTTTATTACTTAACAAGGTAACATGGATAAAAGGAAGCTTTCTAGTTGCACTACGTAGAGAATTTGTCAGTTATGTACATATGAATCCCAATTCCATTGAATTATTAAACATTCTCAGAGAAGAACAGCATTTAATGAAAATACCAGATGAAATGTTTTTCAGTACATTAGCTTATAATCCACAACTACTTGCCCCTGGTGCTTGTAAAGAATTTTATCCACCTAATGAAAATGATAATCATTCTACTTTCGTATCTCGCTATGTTATTTGGAAACCAAAAAGATGTGCTACCGGTAAAAGATATCATACAATATGTATGTTAGGTGTACAACATTTATACAATTTAACAAAACGTCAAGAGTTTTTTGCTAATAAATTTTATAATGGTTTTTATGATTCAGCGTATGATTGTCTTGAATATTGGATATTGAAGAAAATGATGAATGAACATTTAACGGGTAGATTAGATCCAACATTTAATCCACAATTCTATGCTGAGCTACATTGTTCAAAAAATCATATATAATACCTTCAATTTATGTTACTCTATTTCATTATTTGTGTATTTGTTTGAAAAAGCTGTGAACTTTCAAAGTATTTTTATTGCACTATTCTCTGTTTAAAATATCACTTGTGATTTCAAAGACACTCGGTGTGTCGTTCAGCCCCCCTACTTGAACATATCTACTAATTATTTGAAATTTCCGTTCACTGTGCATTGAAAATCCACTCAGTTGTGCATCATTCTAAGTGCTATTGTACTGAACAGTATGTTATTTTTGAACGTAATCTATTCAATTCTAGTTTCGAAAGTGACTTTATTGCACTTGGATATTAAAAGTAAATGCTCTAAACTGCATTGAGAAACAATAAATTTTATTCTTTTCGTAAACTTCAAGTACTACATAATTGAGAACTACTTATGGTGACAATCTGTGTGCAAATGGTCAGATGAAATATGCACTTACTGCACAATGAATTTACAGACATATGATACAATGACTTATGCCATGACAGTAAAAAAGAACATCCTTTACATTAAAACAATGTTCATAAAACTCTGATAAACTACAACTTTGAAAAAAAACCCAGAAAATGAGAGATTACTTTTGACGATGTGTTGTTCTCTCTCTGTATTTCCTAGTTTATTGACTAAGTTTTAATTATTGTTTTGTAAAGCATCACTGAAATAAGGTCCAAAAAGGCCGGCTTCATATATTTTACAATAGACGACACCACATACCTATCTGTCAAGGTTGATAATTATTGTCCTAATCAGATATTTTTTGTTCTATTTTTTTTAAACATCAGTGTCATTTGATTGACCACCGATCTAATGATTATTTCCTCCTTTATATTCATTAAAACAATAAATGTATATTAAAATATATTTATCAATCTAGATAAGTACAGTGGCCACTTTGTAGTTTGTAACACTGGCCATATTCACTGCATTACATGAAAGCATCACTGGTGCAGCTAATCTATCTCATGTTAGTCAGTGTACTGATATACCAATGCAGTGTGCTAGTTTGCCTCTCATACCCATAGTGGCCCTAGATAACCAGGACATATCTGATGTAGACTCTAATGTCATTCTTTCCAGTGCAATATCGGAAGCCAAGGATCGAACACCTGATTCTATTGTGAAGGCTCATAAAAACACTGATAAACCTAAAAAGAATATACCAATTAAGAAGAAAGTAAATAAAAAACCTTCTGGTTCTAGACTGAATACCAAAGATATTTCAACGGCCTTACCAAACAAAAGTATAATTTCTGAAACCATGCTTAGCCCTACTCACCGTAAGGGTGGTTATAAGAACATATCTCGTTCAAACGTTACACGAGACGGCCACTACAACCATCATGTAAGCAGGCCTACTATTAGACAGACGGCAATGAACCAACGTGCCGCATGGTTTCCCCCAAATGTTATAAATAATAAAACTGCAAGATGTAACTCTTATCATCACTCTTGCAGTGGGGATGATGGTATACTAGGTTATGCACCATCAACGCAACCCCAACATACAGGCACCTGTCTTAATTGTCCACCAAAACAAGTACAACCTTACCAAAATAAGGATTTTTTTCGGCCTCCAGAGATCCCTTGTTCCACTAGCACTATAATTCGCTCATGCTATAGCCCATGCGATCCGGAAAACATATTAAACCATAGTCCAGGCATAGCTAGAACTCATACCTTCGATAAGGATGCTCTCGGTTTTTTTTACACTACACACTCCCTTTTTAAACTTATTACTTATTAACGCACGTTCACTTCTGAACAAAATTTCAGCCTTGAGAACCTTAGCCCTTCTAGCCAAGCCTTCTTTTATACTTACCACTGAAATGTGGTGTTATCCATTAATGGCCGATTCCGAATTAAATATCCAAAACTATCGACTCTATCGCTGTGACAGAGAAACTAAGCGAGGAGGCGGTTGTCTTATATTTGCTTTGGATACCTTAACAACTAACAAAGTTGAAGATAGTATCTTGAATAGTTTACCAGAATCGATCTGGATATCAATCAATACCCTAAACCATAGTCTACTTCTAGGTTGTATATATAGAGCTCCTGATAGTACTGATAATTTGAATGATCTTACTATCAATGCATTTATGCACGCATCTACTCTAAACTTCAGTGCTAAGATTATCACTGGCGATTTCAATTATCCTGGGATTAACTGGAGTACCGGTAGTCGTCAGTCTAGCAATGATGAATTTTTATCAATTCTTAATCTGTACTGCTGGTCACAGTGGGTTCGTACCCCAACAAGGGGTGATAATACACTTGATCTAATATTTAGTAGAGATATCATTCCCCTATCTGTACAAGTATACAACGAGTTTGAAAGCAGTGATCATAGGATAGTAGCTTGTGCTCTCCACATCCGTCCCTCCTACAACCGACCAATTCAAAGAACCTGAAATTATAGAGACTATAAGCATGCAGACTGGGACCTCTTGCGCTCACTGATCAAACTGTCAGACTGGGATGAATTCTTCTCATGTAATAGTCTGACAGATGCCATCAACATATTCTATTTGATTGTTAACTCTTGTCTAGACTCCTGTGCACCAATTAAGACTTACAGGATTAGTAAACATTACGAATTATATATACCAAGAATTCATAAATGGCTCTGTTTCTATAGTTATATGCATGATTGGTAACTCAATAAAATCTATCTCCTTCACATGTCTGAAAATTAGTAAGGTCGTAAATAACCTCAAGGTTTCGAAAGGTCACGGAGCAGACGGGATTTCATCGTTTCTCTACAAATATGGTGGTCCAGATATTCCACTTCTTCTCCTTAAGCTGTTTACTCTCTCTATGGAATCAGGCTCTTATCCTGACCGTTGGAAAACCGCGTACATCATACCACGTTACAAATCCGGAGATAAGACTGACATGAACAACTAACGGCCAATAAATATTACTCCAGTTATCTCTAGGATTATGGAAAAAATTATTGGTGACGAACTATCCAACTATTTATTGACTGAACAATTTATTAACATGGATTTCTTAAAAATCGATCATGTATGACATGTCATTTTGACTTCTTTAATTTAGTCTATTCGCTTCGTAGCCAAGGATATCTAGTATTAGTGCTATACCTGGACATTTCTAAGGCCTTCGACATGGTCAACCACCAACTTCTCATAGGTAAACTCGCATCTTATGTGGTCCAAAACCTATTACTAACCTGGTTTGATCCCTTCCTCAGCAATCGACATCAAATAGTTAAAATCAACTCTTCATTGTCGAACTCAGTCCCTGTTAGAAGTGGGGTAATTCAGGGTAGTGTCTTAGGTCCTTTGCTCTTTTTAGTTTTCGTTAATGATATTTGTGAGTGTTTTAGTGTGGGTAAGTCCATTTTGTATGCAGACGATCTTAAGGTGGTGTACTCATTTTCTCCACATGAGCTGAGCAATATTCAAAATTGTATCAGCTCGGAGCTTAACAATGTAGCACAGTGGTGCTCGAAATGGCAACTGGAGCTTAATACAGCTAAATGTGGTTGGTTATGCTTCGGTGATACATCATTAAACCTCGATCTTACCATAAATGGTGAAATGTTATCTAGGTTACACTCAGTAGTAGATCCAGGACTTAGGTACTCCGACGACTTGTCGTTTACTGAACAGATAATGAAACAAACGTCCAAGTCTCAACGCCTTATAGGTTACATAACTCGAAACCTTTATAACAGCGAATCTCGTACAAAGTCTGTGTTCGACCACTCCTCGAATACTGTGCGTTTCTCCTTAGTAGCAAGCGCATAAAGGATCAATTAAGACTGGAATCAGTACAGAGACGATTTACACTTCGTACTCTTGGAACTGATAGTGTCTTGACATATAATTCGAAGTGTAGTAAACTAGGGCTTGACCCTTTATGGAAGAGGAGACTCAAACTTAACCTTATCTTCTTTTTCAAAATACTTAACAAACTCTCCTTCACATCCAGTCAGGCGATTCAATACGCTAAAGCCTCACATTACGACATTCGTAATGCCTTGTCTTTAGAGAAACAAACATATTCTAGATCATCTCTCTCTATGAATTACTTTGCCTGTAAGTTTTCTAGGCTCTGGAATAATTTACCTCAAACTTTCCGTATGTTAAACTCTCTCCCATTGTTTGTTCGCTCAATTAATGCCTTTTGCTCCTCTGAAAATGCATTAAATGCTCTAGCGCCTGCAAGTGTATCTTACTCCACAAGTGAGATTATAGGAACTTTAAATGTTTAACCACTTACTTGCTATCATTGTTTTGTTGTTCCTTGATCTTTGCTTTAATCTTACTTTCTCTAGTTGTAGATAATTAATAATAACTCGCTCTGGCACTGGAAATAACCTTACAGAACAATGTTGATCAATCATCAGGCTATCCACTTAATTAAAAAAATGACAAGTTCCTTGGTGTTGCATTGGCTTGCCGTGACATATGCCATATTTAAACTACTTATCAATTACTAAACCAGCAAACATAAAAATTTCTTATATTTCATGTTTGTTCTCTACATTAAATGTTGATTTTTATAACAATCTGATCATGCCTGTAAACTTGTGTGAATTCTGTAAATATTATTTTCAGAATATATATATATATTATCATTGGTAATAACTGACAACAGATTATTGAAACGAATAGCCAATCTTGATAAGAAATTCAATTATAACAATTTATCTAAACTTATCTTTATAAATCAGTATACCGAACTTGAAGTCGTTAAGTGGGAATATTTGTTATACTTTCAAAAAGAAAGGAAAAAGGTAGAGTATAATACTCTTGATGTGAGATAAAGATCATTGACTGAAAATATGTAAATAATGCTACTCACTTCTATTATCTGAGGTCGTTAATTATTTACCAGTTTTATTTAGTTGATTATAAATATAAAAACACTGAATTGAATGAACTTAATCTATTCAGATGTTTTTTTTTGTTAATATAACATTATGTTTATGTTGGTTGAATTTAAAATAAGAAAGATTGATTCAATGAAGATTACATTTCATCTCAATTTCAACATTTTATCTTATTATGATGAGCTATCCTTTCCCAATGATAATTTCACTATCTAACTTTGATGATGAATACTTAAGCACTAAACAATCAAACAATTATTCGTTTCCCTGTTTAAATTTTTTTAAAATACCTTTGTTTATTCTACCCCACTGTTACCATGTCTAACAGAAGTTTATTATCAGTATTATTGTAATTATTATAATCCTGAAAAATAAGTATATATATTTACGATTGTACAGCTTTGAAAATGAATTCGCCGAAAAGAGAACTCTTCGCTGAACTAATCTTTCTTATTTAATGTCTTAATGGATGTATTCCGTTTAGTAAATAATTTAAAATAAGTAATTATAGTTTGAATTTCCTTCACCTCTTTTACATTTAGTATTCAATTGATTTTATGATAATAATGGTTTCTCACACAATTTGCACTTTTCGTATACCACTAGTTAGTGTGCTAAGCCGTTTACATCCTATCCCAGTTAATGTTTAGTTATTTTCAGAAGGGGTTTTGGGGATATTTTAGTAATTTTATAGAGTTGAGATCATGAGTCAATTGAAGCCAGACCACCATGGAAAACCTGGAAACACTGGACGGTCTTTTCATCCTATTATGGGACTCCTCACCAGTGCGCATCCACGATCCCGCCTCGCAAGATTCCAACCCAGGACCTATCAGTCTCGCGCGCGAGCGCTTAAATTGTGAATAAATTAACAAATAACTAAACCACTGAGCCGGCATCCAACGGTGTTAATGTCTAACTTCAACCAATCCACGAAATTGAGCAACAATTCACCAATGTCATCAGTGAGTTGATATCTCCCAACAGACCTGGATGAACTCCACCGGTTACTGCTTCTCACTATGACTCCAGGAAATAACTCATGGAGCCTTCCAGGTTTTCCATAGTGGTCTGGCTTCAATTGACTCATCTTAACTCCATAAAAAATTACTGAAATTTCCACAAAACCCCTTCTGATAATGATCATGTGCTCACTAGTGATTGACTTCATGAGGTATGTCCTGGAGTCATAGTGAGAAGCAGTAACCGGTGGAGTTCAACCAGGTCTGTTGGGAGATATCAACTCACTGATGACATTGGTGAATTGTTGCTCAATTTCGTGGATTGGTTGAAGTTAGACATTAATACCGTTGGATGCCGGCTCAGTGGTTTAGTTATTTGTTAATTTATTCACAATTTCTTACCAAAAATTACTTGAATTTGAAATACAAAATCAACATAATGAAAAATAACCTGATTGAAAATTTTGAACTATGAAACTTGAATAATCACGCAAAAGTAGTTAAAATCTATATACCATTCTGTTTAATAAACACTTCATGATAATCAAGTTATCATAACAGATATTACCATATTACAATGGATCAAAGTTCTCAGTATACTTTCAAAAGTAAGCATATCTTTAAGCCGCTCATAAGCGATTAATTTCGAGTTAATTCTTACTAAATAAAGTCATAGAAACCTAGCATCATATTTTTTGTGAAAAATGTTGATTAGTCAAAAGTCTAAAAGTGGTGAGTGAACTATAGCCTGTGGTGACAATTGTCTGATAACGCGATCGTAATTCAACCTTTCTACTTTATCCGAGATGAGACTATAATTATTATCTATGATAACTGTAACTAACTTATAATTAGAACTGGCCGATGTAGTAACACAGTAAGTTTTTGAGATCAATTTTTAAAATATTTATTATGATTGCTATATGAAGTGATTAACGGTTAAATCATCCTATCTGATAAGGGAAACACAAAATAAATAAAACCTATGATAAAGCATAAAAACTATCACCTGATAGTTAATTCTACAACTATAACTTCATTGAACACCAAAAAATTGTATTCCAACTATTCAAAAAAGATTTTTGATTACAACAATATTGGGTTGCTCTTAACAAAAGCCTGTAGTAAGTTTTATCATTTATTAAAACATTATTTTAATTGCTTGTAAGTTCATTTCTATTTCAATGAATAATTTATAATCATCAGAAGGGGTTTTGTGGATATTTAGTATTTTCATAGTTAAGTGCTCTGGCGCGAGACTGGTAGGACCTGGGTTCGAATCTTGCGCGAAGTCGTGGATGCGCACTGCTGAGGAGTCCCACGATCAGACGAAACAGCTGTCTAGTGCTTCCAGGTTTTCCTTGGTGGTCTAGCTTCAATTGACTTACGCTTGCAACTATGAAAGTCATTTATACTTGATATACTTTTTACTCCTTGATTATGAATTCGGAATAAACATGAATTCTTAGAAAACTTGTTAAATCTCGTTTATTTTACTGAATACTATAGTGCTATGGTTTTAAAGATAATGAGAAACGGTAAATATAAAATACAATTTTCAAATGTCGAAGAGAAATTCTAACCGGAGTAGTACTGTTTAACATTGAATGACTATTCAAGTAGATAATATAAATACATTAAATAAGACATTCCACTTAATTTGCTGTTGCCCATTGTGTTAAGGATAATGTTGTCGAATAATAATCACTGAGTATGCAAACCGTTTCAGATCATGGAACTGACGTATACAGTATGCTGGACATCGTAGATAACTATGAGTTTTCTGTTTAATGAAACGAGCATCCTTAGAGCCCGATATCCAATAAGATAATAAACTTAATTCCTAGTTTTTTTTAAAGATAAATAAAAAAGGTTTTTTCTGATACTGTGAGATGAGTGGTCCAAAAATGAAATTATCGTTGTCTTTCCGAACAACACCATCAAATAAACCTCTAAATACAGCAACCTACTGAAACTTTCTCCTAAGTTGCTCACAGCTTATCCTGATCATATAAGATATGATTATTACTGTCAATTTTTCTTCGACTCCGAGAATTAGTTTCAATTATCTTTCTGCCTCACCTGACTAATGATCTTATAGTTGTTTGCCAATTCTCTGATTGGTTTAAAATAGTCCATCTCAGCAAGTCAGTGCTAAGTTTCAACTTATTTCCTGACATTCTCAATTTTTATGTTTGATTACATAATTATAGTCAACCAATCTTGAAAAAAATCAGCGAATTTATGTCCTAACATCGAAAGCGAAAAGAATGTATTCTTTGTTGTCACAATCTCGACAGGATATTTTATAAATGATATTTAACTTGTCTTACTGTGTCATTATATGCTAGTTTCGACAGTAAACATCAGAAAGATATTGTCTTGTTGTGATCCACACCTATTGATACAGGATATAATCTGTTTGCTGGTTTCATATTCGATAACAAGTTGGTTACGCTTCTTTTGCTGAAAGTGTGTAAGCAGTTGTTCATCCAAAAGCCAGGAGTAAAGTTACTATTTCCTAATTTCACATTATTTTTATTGTGAATGATTTATAAATAAATAACATTATCAGATCTATATTTTCTCCATTTCACAATAGACTTAAACCTCAAAAATCACCCAGAAGGTTAAATAGAAAGCTTCATTATAATGTCAAAGTAATTTACTATAGAAATAATACACCAATTCATCACAGGATGTTTTTTGTCAGTTCATATACATTATGTAAAGTATGAATAGTTTTGTAAAAAGATGTGTGACAAACTTGAGAACTTATCCCTATTTGTGAGTAGAGAATATAGTGCTAGAATAAGCGAAGTAGTATGACGGAAACGGTGATGAAAGGGACCCTGAAATCATATTCAGCAAGCCAAGACAATACATACATTTGCGGTCTCATCCTGAAAACAGTGAGTCCATGTTACCTACACTAATTTTTCTAAATATTTTCCAACAAAAATTTGATAAATCCATGTTTCTCAGAGTACAAGAACCAAAAGTTACTCATAGTAAGAATGCATATATCAAACGAGTAGCGGGACCAAAGAAAGCAATCAGAAGATTCGAAATATGCAATATCGTGGAGATTCGCTGCCCAGTGAATGATTTGGGTGAGGTTTTGTTTTCTAAGCTTGATGATTTGGTCATGGAGCTTTTCCTGTACATCATCAGCTTCAACTCCAGGTAGAAGTGTTCGAATTCCAGCACATCTGACTCAGCTTGTCCTGTTGACTTCGACTGATTATTGTTGATCTTTAAACTGTCATTGTCTACCTCTTTATTTTGATTGTCTTTCTTCGATCTGATTCTTGGTCCTATATTTTTCTGATTGGTTCTGAACATAATACCTTCGTTTACATTAACTTCATCACCACATTCAAACATGTATGTGTCAATGCAAAAAGTTTTATCGTGTTAATTAATTCATTATTTTGCCAAATCGGTCACATAAGTGTTGAAGCTTCCACTCAAGTTGGTGCAAAAGGGGCATGAGATAAACTTTATGAAATGAATAATGATTTTACTGGTGTCCAAAACTTGACAGATAAAGTGAAATACGAACTCACAACAGAAACAACAGTCACAGCTACCTAATTTAATAGCAAGACAGACTAATCGAGAAAATTATGTCAGAATCCTAGAAATATAATCCTGACAGAGTAGATTTTTATGGGTGGTCAACGTCTTTAACATCAAATGTACAGGAGAATTATAAAACAAAATCTAATACCTAGGTATTTTACTAAACTGAATAATCATAGGATCGTCAGAAACACAAGTATACAGGAAACTGTCACACAGACCAAATACTAACCTTCAACAACCAATCAACGTACAAGCAGGGTTGTGTACATACGTTATTAAAAATAAACAGAACATCTCTATATCACTCTTACTAGGAAAGAACTAAAGCTCCTACTGTCTTCAGTAATAATATTCAACTTTTAGTTAAGAGGTGACTTGAGAACCGATCGATCAATGAAAAACTAAACCCAGAAATCAGGAAAGGACAGTCTCATTACATAAAAAGGATCTCAGAAACCAGATATCTTGGACCCCTAAGAAGTCAATGTCACCAAACCGAAGTAACTGTTTCAAACCGAAAGGCAAGTTATTATTAAAGCCAGTACAATATTGTAAAGCACTTCACTCTTAATTACTTATTATTCTTACTCTCACTTTCGTAAAAACACCCACCATGTGATGGCAGTGAGTACGACTTTCTCGGTAGAGGTCATAAACGCATGACCGTATGGGGGCATTCCAAGGAGAGTGAACACTCCTTAACTTCGGAAACACCAGGACATATGAGGGGCTGGCACCTTTAGGTTGACAACCAAAGATACGGCAGAGAAAATAAACAAGTGCAACACCATGTACAAAGTAAATTGTACCAACTGAGAAAAAAAAAAAACTAGATTGAACCCCCTCTTTAGTTACTCATATGTGGAAACAATCAAGGAGTGAAACTATATGTAGTCATATTAACGTACGTACACCATCATGGGCAACAATGCAAACGGAAAACACTGAAATTCAGGATTAAGAGAATTTTAAGAGTTTCTAGAACTATGGCATTCAAACCAATTGGTAGCCAAACATATAGACAGAAATTCGATCCGCGAAACCATATGAAAAAGGTTGGACAACCAAATGGTCAGAGACCAACCGAACAAGGCAGTCAAGAGTAGTAAAAAGACGAAAGTAACCTTATTCGTCCTCTAGTTAAATCAATCTGAAAATATTAGTAAAATACTCAAAACGAAACTGAATCAACCCGTGCATTCACTTATTGTGCTTTGAAATACATTATAATATGTCCACAGTATTACCAATATACGCTTTTCTATTTATTTACTAAATACGTTTCCCACTCTTTAAATATATAACATATATATAATAGATACAAAGAAACGAAATACGTGAGAAGAAATATACAAATGAAGAAGAGTATTATAAAAAGCTAGTATTTTGATGCACTCGAGTGCCACAGCATATATGGTATCAGTAAGCAGGGTGTAACAAACAAAGCGAAACCAATCCACTCAATCTGTTAAAAGAAAAAAAAGAAAGCAATAAAAAAATACTGTAAATTTATGAAATCACTTTTTTCTAATAAATAATTTTAGAGAACTCCCGGTAAACGATGCAAAATTATGAGACGAATAACTACTTGAAAGAAAAATTAAGTGTTATCAAAAAGAGAGTGAAGCATTTCATTCTTACACATGATTACGGGTTCTCATACCGAGATAATTAATCGATAAGCCGGCCATTTTATTTATTTAATCACATACATATTGGTACAAAGGGCACCGAATACATATGCGCCATAGATAAGGTAGGATGTGGTATGAATCTATTTTGATCCAAGCTGCCACATCTCATTAGCGCAGCAAGAGAGGAACTTGACAAAATAAGAATTGAGAAAATAATATCAAATAGAGCAGAGAGTGAACTACGAGAAATATAATTCCGGTAGAACGAGTGGAATTGAAGAATGAATTCGTCTGGTTACATACCTAAATTTATCAACACGAAAACATCCTTAATAAATTTAGCTGAAGTATGCAAATAAAATGGTATTATTGGAACACAATGGATTCGTTCTATTAACGAAGTAGAATGGCACATAGTGATAAAATGTTAGATTAAGAATAAAATCTAACTGATAAATGAATTCATTTTATTCTGTAAACATCCTTTCGACTGTAATTCAAGTTTATTAATGAGATTAAATGACGATAAAACCCTGAAATTACGTGCTTTCGAAAACAAATGAATTCAGAATTCAAGGAAAGTCACTTCGTATTAAATAGAACTAGTACACTGAACGTTATTTTTAGTTTTTACACTCCTCTTTAGTACGTTTATTCACTGCGTAATATATTTTAGATGTAGTAAGATATATGTTCATTGATGACTTTAATAATATACTGTGAACATAAGTTGTAGAGCTTTAAAATGGATAATATTTGATTGCTTTCTCTACAGAATAATTCAAAGTGAAATTGTTAACGGAAGATAGATTGGATTAAAGCATGTTCCATGCAGGATTATGTTGCGGCACGCTGATTGACTATTTCTTAACCCATCAGCGCTAGTGAACACTTTGAGAAGACTCTAGGATCCTCTCATGTAAAAACTATAAATATACTAACGTTTTTCTTATTGTGTTTCCTACTTCCATCTACCCTTGTTATTTGGAATATAACTTCATTCCTGTTCAATCATGTTCTCATTTGAAGACTTTTCGAGTGAATCAGTGTCTAAGAATATTAAACAATAGGTATAACTGGGTCGTAATAAGAGGAATTATAACAGAAACTAAATGAAGACAAGGAATACAATAACATATATTATACAACGACCAGTGAAAATTTTACTAACTGTATGAGAAGTGAAACGCTTGTTATACTCCTTCAGTCTGTGAATTGTAAGTAGACCAGGTGCAGAAGAATACAAAAACTATAGAAAAAAAATAGGATGTTTTTATTTAGCATGTATAAACACTATTTTATTTCACAAAAAAAGGTTAAACAGTCACAAGGAAAATGTAACTAATAGGACAATTTCCCTCTACATTCGATGGAAACGTAAGTATGAAGGGTACAGGATCTCGTCCTGTTTATCAAGATGCTTCCACACTTCGTGACTCAAGACGTAAGCGCTAAACAGACTACAGGAATATTCTAGGTTGGTTTACTGTTAGCTAACTTTACAACAGTATTTTGTGATCTGAGCGGGACATTTACTTAGAGTGGAAGATATACCTAGTTATTCTGTTTTCTTTGGTAGATTGATTTATTTTGTGCTACACTTGTTAACCAAGCGCAACAAGGCCCTTAAAGACATTCTAGAGTATACTATTGCACATATTATTTATCCTAACTTTCGGACAGCCTTTGATGATTCAGACACCATGTGACTATTTAATCATTTTTACCTATCTAATAACTCTGTTCTTTTCATAGGAAGAAGTTACGACTTTCAGAACATATACCTCTTAAATCCGTGCCCTTGTAGTTCTACACTTATCGTAGGTCAGTACTGATACTATTTAATCCAATTAATGGCTCTTCGTGGCATTACTTACTATCTATTTCAAATCATATTAACGCTTGTAATGATCAACATTTTGGGTTGGCACGTTTTTTCTCCGCTTCGCTTTTCACCTGTCTGTCCGAGTAAATAATGCCTGAAGTAAATTCATCAGACTAAATTCGTATCTAGCTTTCTATTACTGACGTCACCCAAACGGGGTTCGCATAAGTAAAACATACGAGACCAAATGGATAATCTATACTTATTGTTCGTTCACCGTTCGTTCGTTTGATCTTTGTTTATTTGAACACATAAACATTGGTACAAGGGGGCACCAAATACATGCGTGCCACACAATAACAATGAAGTCAGTAGCAGTTACCATTTGTTTTTGTGTGAGGGCTGTGATACTACCCGGGTACCCAGACCAAAGCAGGTGGTTTTCCTAGGGACCACGCCCCGAGTCTTCGACCTAAAGGTCTGATCCACAAGGCAGTGGAGCATCGTGAGGAGATGCACTCCCATGGTAACCGGTGACCAACGATTGGTTCATACGCTATTAGTACCCTCAGGATACTGGAGTCCATGTACACCATCAGTTTGGAATCAGGGTTTTCCAACTCCCCTAGGTAGACCCTTCATATCCACCAACCCAGTTAAAGCGAAGAACATCCGCTTTTCGTCCTCTCAATTTCGTAAACAACACTCCCACCGCGAGAGGCTAGTAAGTAGGACTTCCTAGACAGTGGTTGTATACGCGTGGTAATATAAAAGCATTTCGAGAGGGAGAGCGAACTCTTCCCACCCCCGGCTGTACTAGAGCATTTGGGGGCATTCGTTTGATCATTAACAGAGCTAGACAGTCTGGCCTACAACATTAACTGTGTTGCCACAATACTAACTTCGATTTTAATAACACTAAACATTGGTTCGCAAATATTGACACTTCGTCAGCTTTTTTCATGTAACCAGTAGGTAGACCAAAGTAACACAATCGAATGTTAATGATGAGAATATTTGTTTTTAATGGATTCCCTACTTGTTACTAGATTCTTTGGGTTTGATTTTACTGTAAACTTATGAACCAATGCCGAATAATTTCAAAGATGTCCATCTGCTAAAAAACTTGTATCAAATAATTCGACAAGAACGATATGCATAAATTTAGCGACTATATGTCAGTCAGTCAGTTACAACGTAGAACTTCGTACGTACGTACATCAGTTCGAGTTGCCATACCATATTAGCACAGAAATGCAGTTGTCGATTCAAATCCCATAGTGGTAGAAGCAGTAAGAGTATATGTAGCCCTGGAAATAAATTACTTCTAAAGAGCACAAACTTTTCCAAATACCCTACATATACTACGAGACGACACCCACTCTATGCATCAATCAGAATCATAAAAAACCAAAACGAATGAGATAATTAAACAGAGAACAGTTATACAACAATGGTATAGAGGCTGGGAATATAATACGCAAACTAGCAAAAAATTAAAGCTTACGGAACTTTTCTGCAAATCATTAGACTTGTAAGTAATTGTAGCACTAGAAAAATTATGAACGCCATTTATTTGAGGTTTGAGGATTATGACATGAGTGACGTTCGAGGAGGCAGGTACAACAGGCCACCGAGCAGAAGGACTCCCATGAATCAATGTAAATTCTGTTTCGGAAAAGATATCAAATAGCTCAACATTTTTGGCAGCGCGTCTGTGTAGAAGGAAAACAGCAAATATGTTTATGTATTAGGGCACGACTAGGTACAATTACAATATTAAAAAAATTAGTCTGTCTAAATGCCATGAAAAAAGCGATGTAGTTCCGAGCTAAAATAGTCATGAATGAGTCAAAGACCATTATGAATAAAACGGATGTTACGTAACTCCTGAAATAAGATAACTAAAGCTATGAAAACGCAAGAGAACCACGTAAATGAATGAATAGACTACTAAAACTGGACTGGTCACGTTTTTGTATTAAATACTATAAAACAGGTAATCTCAAACCAATAAGACCATAACTTCGCCTGTAGCTCCTCTGGGGGTTGCTGCCGGTTCCAAGCCCGGGTAAAGGAGGAGGGTTGGGCATGGGGTTAGCCACCCCATCCCGTAGAAAACCTAACTCGCTAAAAAAACGCTAACCAGAAAAAATCATTCAAACCATTTAAACTCTGCCCTCCGAGTTCAAGGAATAATTATGACGTCTCATGATGAAAGCCGAGTTCATTCGGAAGTCACGAGATCGATGCACCTTCTAACAACCAGAGCAACACTCTTTATAGGTACATGGAAAGTCCGGACAATGTGGAAGACAGGAAAAACAAGCCAAATAGCAATGGAAATGAGAAGATACAACTTGGCAGTACTCGGAATCAGCGAAACCCATTGGACACAAACTGGACAACAAAGGCTAGGTACAGGAGAACTTCTGTTATACTCCGGTCATGAAGAAGAAAATGCCCCCCACACACAAGGAGTTGCATTGATGATGTCCAGAAAAGCACAAAAGGCACTTATTGGATGGGAATCTCATGGACCAAGGATCATCAAAGCCTCCTTCAGAACAAGAGAGAGGGCATTACAATGAACATCACCCAATGCTATGCGCCGACCAACGACTACGATGAAGACGCTAAAAACCAATTCTACGATAGGCTGCAGTCAATCTTCGAGAAGTGCCCAACCAAGGACCTGACCATTCTGATGGGAGATCTCAATGCCAAGGTTGGAAAGGACAACACTGGATACGAAGACGTCATGGGACAACATGGACTGGGAGAAAGGAACGAAAATGGTGAGAGATTTGCAAACCTATGTGCCTTCAATAAACTGGTCATAGGTGGCACCATATTCCCACACAAAAACTTACACAAAGCCACTTGGATTTCACCGGATCACACTACACAGAATCAAATCGACCATATCTGCATCAACAAAAAGTTCAGGAGGACGATGGAGGATGTGAGAACCGGAAGAGGAGCTGATATAGCATCCGATCATCATTTGCTGGTCGCCAAGATGAAACTCAAACTCAAGAAGCACTGGACAACATCACAAAAGTTTAATGCGGCCTTTATTCGAGATGCTGACAAACTCAACAAATTCAACATAGCCCTCAGCAACAGGTTCCAGGCCTTTCATGATCTACTCAATGGAGAGCAACTGGAAAGGTATCAAGGAGGCAATCGTTTCAACATGTCAGGAGGTTCTGGGCCAAAAGAAGCACCATCACAAGGAATGGATCACTGTTGGTACACTGGATAAAATTGAAGCAAGGAGGAACAAGAAGGCAGCAATCAATATCAGCCGAACAAGAGCGGAAAAAGCCAAGGCACAAGCCGAATACACAGAGGCAAACAAGCAAGTGAAGAGGAGCATCAGAACCGACAAACGTAAATATGTGGAAGATTTAGCGATGACAGCGGAAAAGGCTGCAAGACAGGGAAACATGAGACAATTGTATGATACAACTAAGAAACTTGTTGGAAATTACTGAAAGCCAGAACGACCAGTGAAAGGCAAAGTAATCACCGACATTGAAGAACAACGAAACAGGTGGGCAGAACACTTCAAAGAACTCTTGAATCGACCAGCTCCACTGAACCCACCCAACATCGAAGCAGCAACCACAGACCTCCCAATCGATGTTGGCCCACTAACAATTGAAGAGATCAGCATGGCCACTAGACAAATCAGGAGTGGCAAAGCAGCGGGACCAGACAACATCCCAGTAGAGGCACTGAAAGCAAATGTAACAGCAAATGCCAAGATACTCCACATCCTCTTCAGCAATATTTGGGACGAAGAACAAGTACCAACAGACTGGAAAAAAGGACTTCTGATCAAGATACCAAAGAAAGGCGATCTCAGCAAGTGCGACAACTACAGGGGCATCACTCTCCTCTCAATACCAGGAAAAGTTTTCAACGGGGTATTGTTAAACAGGATGAAGGATTCCATGGACGCCCAACTTCGAGATCAACAAACTGGATTTCGTAAGGATAGATCGTGTACAGATCAAATCGAAACTCTACAGATCATTGTGGAACAATCAATGGAATGGAATTCATCACTCTACATCAACTTCATCTACTACGAGAAGGCATTTGATAGCGTGGACAGGACAACACTATAGAGACTTCTTCGACACTACGGCGTGCCTGACTATCAGTCTAGTTAGTGTAGTGCGTCATTTCATTACACGGCGTGCCTGAGAAGATAGTCAATATCATACGGAACTCCTATGATGAACTAAACTGCCAAATCGTCCACGGAGGACAACTCACCGACTCGTTTGAAGAAAAAACCCGTGTTAGGCAAGGTTGCTTACTCTCACCCTTTCTCCTTCTCCTGGTGATTGACTGGATCATGAAGACGTCAACATCTGGATAAAAGCACGGAATACAGTGGACAGGCAGGATGCAGCTTGACGATTTAGACTTCGCAGATGATCTGGCTCTTCTATTACAAACGCAACAACAAATGCAGGAGAAAACGACCAGTGTAGCAGCAGCCTCAGCAGCAGTAGGTCTCAATATAAACAAAGGGAAAAGCAAGATTCTCCGATACAATACAATATGCACCAATCAAATTACACTTGACGGAGAAGCTTTGGAGGATGTGGAAACCTTTACATATCTGGGCAGCATCATTGATGAACACGGTGGATCAGATGCAGATGTGAGGGCGCGGACCGGCAAAACAAGAGCAGCATACTTACAACTGAAAAACATCTGGAGCTCAAAACAATTGTCAACCAACACCAAGGTTAGAATTTTCAATACAAATGTCAAGACAGTTCTACTGTATGGGGCGGAGACGTGGAGAACTACGAAAGCCATTATCCAGAAGATACAAGTGTTTATTTACAGCTGTCTACGCAAGATACTTCGGATCCGATGGCCAGACACTATCAGCAACAAGTTACTGTGGGAGACAACAAACCAGATTCCAGTGGAGGAAGAAATCAGGAGGGAGCGCTGGAAGTGGATTGGGCACACTTTGAGGAAATCACCCAATTGTGTCACAAGACAAGCCCTCACATGGAATCCTGAAGGTCAAAGGAGAAGAGGAAGACCAAAGAACACATTACGCCGAGAAATAGAGACAGACATGAGAAGAATGAACAAGAACTGGATAGAACTAGAAAAGAAGGCCCAGGACAGAGTGGGTTGGAGAAAGCTGGTCGGCGGCCTATGCTCCATTGGGAGTAACAGGCGAAAGTAAGTAAGTAATAAGACCATAGAACCCTAAAAAGCGAGGCGGAAGTTATAAAGCATTTACTGATATAAGCAACACCCCAAATCTAATGTGAAATTCACTCTTTTTTCTGAAAATTTCTGACGAGACTATAATTTATGGACGAGCCAATCAGAAGCGTTTGAGGGATCTTAAGGTCACGGTGCCAGCTCTAGTACCTGATGCACATCTACGATCGGTTCACAGAGGATTTTAGAGAAGACTTGACAATTAGGCGGCTACGATAGATAAGACTACTAAGAAGTTCCTGTATTTGTAATTGCCGTAATCAACTGACTTTTAGACCTTGTACAGACTACCGTGATGTTGTACTTTCATGTAATCAGTCAGTCTATGTAACAGATGAAGGAAGACGTTTGCTAGAATAGGAAGCTTTTTCGCCTGATCCAGATTGAAACTGGGACATATTATAATAATTGCCGCGAACTGCATAATAAAAGCACCATTAACATTGGCTGCAACAATCGCAGATGTTACTGGAACTTCGGCTGCTCAGTGGTATAAGTATTGTAGGGATACATCCAAATTAAAATGATAGACTTACACAACCGGAGTACACACAAACAATAATGAGGCTACGTGGTCGAAGACGAGAGAGCTTTTGTGACTTTATCATGGCTTCAGAGACCGACTATTATGGAGACATATGGGTGAGTTCCATTACCGTATGCATTAGGATTTTAGAACCCTTAAACCTCTTTCTAACTTTGACAAGACTTTGGACCATATGAAACAAGCGTATCAGCTTTAATTATTTGGTTTTGTATAATATATTTTTTACTCCATGCTGGCTGTTTACTGACTGACTAATATTTCTCAGTGTCACCCAAGATTCGTTCAAAGGTTGTCCATAAAATATAGTCTCGCCAACTTTCTTCCGAAAAACTCAACGGTTGATGGGAGTGCCAGGCACGAATAACCTCTGCGGATATAAGCCTAATGCCAAAGTAGACTGTGATTCAGTGGGTTATTATACAATTATAAACATGTCACTTATTCCTGAAAGGCTACAAACGCGCAACATTAATCTGTCTTCTTCAGGTTTGGTGTTTTATCAATAAAGCAGCTACCTTATGGTTTGAATCACGTTTTCTCAACCCTAAGATTACATTTTTCCTATGGTCATCTACATCCCACATTTGTCCTCACACTTACAAAAATTGTTTCAACTTCCCTTTATAGTTAAATCAATAACCAGGAAAATACAAGAATTGTACCAAGGCAAACCGATTGTTTAAACAATACACTACCTCAAAGAAAATACATAACCCAAAAGGTGGCCCGAGTATCAAATACACAACTTTCATCTGCTTAATCGTAAGTATCGATTCGCAAACTATTTCAAAGTCCTCAAAACATTGACACAATAAGTGCAGCATGGAGGGTCAAATTCAAATGTGTCTAATTAATTGAAAACAATAATTGGCGAGTATTTGTCAATTAAGGCATTAGAAACTTACGATTCGTGGAAATTGTAAATTGTATATAGAATAGTCATTTCTTTTTCCTGGAAGATAAACTCATTCAAAATTTCTTTGGAGACCGCCAATCGGACATTATCCACAGAATCTGAAGATACCAGGACAACCGAATAAATGGCCAACAGGATACCAAAACTAAACCCCATCACGTTGAACAGACTTCAAAATACCCGCTAATAACCGGTGTACTACGACGTGGCAAGGTCACTTATGTGTAATACGGCAGTGTTGTAAATGTCCATAAAAATGTAATAAAATAAATATGTTCCTAATCAACCTATATGTCAGAAGAGGGTAAATTGAAAAACTTTTATGTGAAAATATTATAGCCTCTAAAAAGATTGATTCGGAGCTCTTTCACCATTGTGTTTATTAGGTCCGAGTGGGGATGGCAAGAATAGGGATTAGGAGTACTAGACGAACGGCAATAATGAACCCTTATGGCCTTAGCTCACAAATTGAGCGAGGCATTAAGCCAGATGAGTATAGACTCAGTGAAGTGTCATTGAGCCCTAGCCGGATCATTCATCAGGGTAAATCATTTCTATGTGGGACGATATATCACTGAACATTGAACAGTCTATCTGGCTTCTCCTATCGGTAGACCGAGGGTCACCCAGTGACACGAAAATCTCACATTAAAACTGGGATTATTTGAATATGATGAGTCACAAAGTCGAAAGAAAAGAAGTCAGACTCCGTCACTCTTAGAATGGTTTATCACTAACTAAGAATTCTTAATTAAGAACCTCTGCCTTCAATTTACAGTCTTCCAGGTGAAGATCGGAAGTAGGGTGACCCATGTTAGTACAGTGAAGATCCAATTTGGTTTTAAACATATCAACAGTAGATACTGATATAACGCGCTCTGGTAGATAATTCTAGTAGTTTATTACTCCGTGTTGGAAACAGAACTTCAGGTGTATATTGTTTGATCTCGGTTTTTGACCCTTCTGAGAACTTTCTTTAACGTTATTAGTCCTCTGTGTAAGAAAACTATGACAAATATTGACACCAAAGTCATCGTCTGGTATACGGTACTCCAACATTGAGTCGCCTCGTAACCTGCTGTAATATAATGGAAACAGTCCGGGGCGTCTCAGTGTAACCTCGTTGAGCGTGTCGAGAATGTTTCACTATTTCGATCTCACTCTGTTAAACCAACGCTAGCACATCTGCCTCTTTTTTAGAGTAAAGCCTTTCTGCTCGAAATCTACATCACGTATCTGATCTCATAAGCGTCAGGCGTAATCCTTTAAGTACTTCCTCATCCAAAAGAATAAGTAACCTATGAATAGCCTACGGGACCTAGAAGCAGACATCTTACAATAAATCACAAACCCAGGAGTTTTACTAATCACTACTCCTAAATCTTTGTGACTAATCACTTCAAGAAATACCATTCCGTTTATTTTATATCTATATAAGCCGTCACAACAGCTGATTTACGTTCGTAAACTCTTGGCGGATTTATTTCCATATACCACACACTTCAATCCGCCAGTAAATCCAGGTATCTCATTAGTTCTTTCTTGTCAGACACATTCAGTATGGGTCTATATAACTTGATATTACCGAAATAAAGTGAGATAGATGATTTTGTGGCACTTAGTAGATCATTTACGTTAAGTATAAAAGAAGATGTCTACGATTAACTTTTGGGAAACCCCACTATTCACAGACCCCATGGTAATAAACCACCATTTATCCCTTCCCGCTGCCTCCTATCGCTGGGGAAGTTAAGCATTCAATCCCTAACCGTATAATTCCTCCCCAAATTTTCCGTTTTATTCTAAGGTCTAGATGAGAGACTTTATTGAAGAGTACACCTAACGGAAGTTTTCTATCTTTCTCCCCAATCCATTCTCTTTCTGCGATAAGGTTAATCAGGCATATAAGAAATTCCTTGAAAATATATTGTTTCATCACCAAAACATTTTTCACCCTTACGTAACTCAGAATAACTACCCAAGGTTGAGAATGGTTCTGGGTAGGCTAACCACGCGATAGTTACCAACCAAGCACTTGTCTCTAGTTTTGTGTAGCAGACCAATTTTTGAATCCAATCTCTTGGCAGTTAATAATGATTCGGAAACAAACCGAACATTATTATCATCAGTTTCAAGATTTGAGGATGAATGTCATCTATGTCACTGAGCTTGTCTGATTTGAGATGTTGAAGTGGTTGTAGAACAAATCCTCTCTTGATTGAAAAATCCCTTGAAGAAACGATATTGTTGAAGTTAATGACTGGTTTTTCAACACAATTGTCAAAAAACCACGAAAACATTCTATTAAAGTTTTGGCCTTTTTACTGTCACCACTTACCAGCGTAAGGGGATTTTCCCGAAGTCGAAGTGGCAATATTTCGTCACCTCCCTGAGCCCATCTCTTGATGAGCAACAACAAGGTTTTTGGATTTTTTGGAAAGTAATGAATCACATGTTTCAGACACTATAATCTAGCTCTGTTTGTCAACGCTTTACATAGGTTTCTAGTCTTGGAGTAGGCAGTTGTGATCTGTTCAGATCTTCCTCAGATGGCGCAAGTCAGCACACACCTCTCTTACTGCTTATCCTAATGTTCTATAAAATGAGATCATCACCTGAGCAGATGGGTATATAATAGATGAGAATCACAAATAAATGAATGTGTGAGCATGTCATTTGCTATGTATCTAAGGATACTCCCTCATTTTGGCATTTATTAATGTCACTCAAGCACGTTTATCTTAGTAGTTTTCGAGTGATATTAGGGTTACGACTTAGTCAAGTTTCATCCTGGCCATGGTGAGTGGTTTTATTTCATTAGCACTCCTACGTCACGAAAATTACGTAACAGACTGAAAGCATTTTATTACGTCAGTCCAGGTTTTATACATTTTGTTAGACTGAACTAAAACGTACAGTGGACAACAGTCTCTGAAATTTCAAGTGGTTGAGTATGTTTTTGATGTTGGTTTGTTCTTTGAGCTGGATGGTTTGGTCGTGGAGCTTTCATCATCCTTCTGAACGACATCATCAGCACAAACTTCGGTAGAAGTGAAGTGTTTGAATTTCTCCACATGTGATTCACAGCTTGTCCTCTGCACCTCGATGTTGATTGAATGTTATTGACGTTGAATCTGTCATAGTTTATTTCTTTGGGTATGTTAAATTTAAAGGTCAATCTACAGTGAATGAAATGGCAGGACTGCATTAGCTTGATACGGATGCCCAACAGAATTTTTCATTAAATCCGACTGTGCACACTACAAATCGGTCTGTCTCACGAGTGGTACCAGATACGCTAGAACGATAGACGTCTGGCTACTTGGAGACCTCTTTCCGTCATGCCGTCGACAAATAGAAAAGATTATTCATATCCCTCACGAGTAGTTAAATTAGTCAGTCAAACAATAACAACTAAAATTACAACCAATTATGAAAGTCAATGAAATTCAACAGATAAATAAAATTGAGTGAACGTGGATCTATCTAAAACTGCAGCATTTGCTTTCTTTCCCAATCAATCCTTTATCTCGACTTTACTTCTTTGTGATTCGATAGCGCTGATGGTTACGAGACCTAAAGGCGATCGGTGCTTATTGCCAAAGTTTGTGTATGCTGTCGATAATCTACTGGATATGAGAATTTGCTACCTTTGTCCAATGCATTGATCTGATTTGTATCGTGAATTTGTACCGTGAATACTTCTTGTGCCATGAATTGTGCGACGGTTGACTTAAATTTATAAGAACGGTTTCGACAAACAATAATTGGAAGTGAACCATTTCCTCGATCATTCACCATTTTTGATACTGCCCAAGGAAAATTGGAACCTTGTGTTAAATTATAATTCAGGTCTTATGGCTGAGAGTTGGCTATACATAATGATACATAAGAACTGGTTTACCGCCGAAGAGCACTGTCCTGTAACCTTGATGAGAAGTGGAAAATGCTCTCGTCGACGTACACTGTCAACTACCGTCTATGAAGTCGACTGTAAATTCCTTGAGGTTGAAATGGACAGAACAACATTCAACACTAATCTGAGTGGTATGTCTTTCAGCTCCAAAATCCTAAATTGATCTCTGCAAAAGATTTGATTTTGTAGCTAAAAATCTTGAATGTCTTTCCACGCAACACATCAGTTCTCCCAGATGCTGAGTCAGTACACTATACTCGTGTACTATCACTTATGACGCTCTATACAATCTCCTGACCCCTGATTTTCTTTCATCTGTTCTTCAAAAGTACCGTGACATTCAAAGTAGTGTCCCATGATCGATGACATGACTGCTCATTTGTGTTGACCGCGGTGATTCTCAAGCTCTCTGACGGCAATTGTTCGATAAATCGCTGACAAACTCATTGACATGCCCATAGATCTGTGTTGTGTTTGCGTAAGCGCAGTTAACTGAACTAGTTTTTAATCTCAAGATGATTTTGCGAAATAAAAAGTATAATCAAGGATGTTATGAGGATGGATGTATTTCATGAAAATCTAGTTGGCGGGTCGCATATTAAGCATACAGCCTATGCTTTAATTTCTGTCGTACTTAGAGCATGAGTTTTGCCTATCCCTCCATTTCTCAGTCGTCATTAAGCCTGTAATATGTAACGTATTAGGAAACTCTTCCCTTCTTCTATTATATGTCATGCACATGCGTGTTACTTTTGCTCCAGATTTCGTTGTAGACATCTGACGATATTTACGTCTGTCTGTGGTGATTGCCCGGAGTAAAATCTCAAAAAATGACATTGTTTAGGTAAATTTGTACATTTGTATATGTAGTGAATTTTAGAACCGTTATTACCCCAGTCGCTTTGCTCTGATTTCAACTGGGGTTTGTGAGTTTCTTCACTTTTACTAACCAGTTGTTAATCAATCCTAACCCAGTTGGAACTAGGTTTGGATCTTACAACAGTAATGGTCCAGACTTCTGGTTTATTTATGGCAGCGATTCGGTGGTAGTGGATCGTCACTATAATCACCAATTTAATTTACGTTGAAAAGCATTTTCAGTCGATCCTAGACGCTCAGGTATTTTACATACCGTGTAGTGAACGAGAACACAAGTGGGGAAAGTCGGATGCATTTGGACACAAAATTACAGAAAATCTTAGTAAAATCTGATAACAATACAGTTAATACGTAATTTGTC